TGTTAGTGTTTAAAAACACTAGGTTAGACATTCCTGTTAATGATAAGAAAAATCAGATTCATATTGCTTACTCCCCTGATAAGTAAATATATAGTATCACCTTGTTAAATTACAAATATAAAAATCTGTGATTAGAATAATTGGTGGACGGGCTGATGCTGTATTAAATTTTTTTGTATGTATTTTCATGGAATTTGGGATGGAATGACTGTAGCCTTGGCCGCCCCTATGCAGTTTGCACAGACTAACCTGGACCGTTTGCCCCCTGCCCAGCGGAGTCTGGATCGTCTGAGTATCACCCTCCCCCACGCACCCGGGAGGTCGTCATCAACGATCAGGTGGTCATGCTCAAGTACTGCTTCACCTGCAAGATATTCCGGCCGCCACGCACCTCCCACTGTGGCCTGTGTGACAACTGTGTGGGTAAGGATGAGCATCAGAGCCCCCATCTCCCTGCTAAGCAGCACGACCCATTTGGACTCCCTCCATAGGCCTAGCTGTCAGAAGCAGTCCTCTCTTACCACCTTAAATATTTTAAAACAGGAGTTTCAATAGTAAAAATCACTAGTGCTGTGTTTTTTTTTTGTTTTTTTTTTGCTGTTTGACGAACAGGAACATTTCTGCTTGGAAAAACTGAAACGTGTGTGTGTGTGTGGGAGAAGCAACTGACTGGACTTTTAAATTTCCAGTTTATAGAAAAACAAATTTGTAATCAAGAAGGACAATAATGCCTTGTTTTATGTTTTAACTTTTTTTGACCCATTAATAGAAGTTTAAGTCCCTTGCTGAAGAGGACAACTGGACTTTTAGCTGACAGTGTAAGGTTGTCATTAACCATTGCAGATCCGGCTGCATTCACTGCTGCACAACAGAAAACCCAAACATACTAGCATTCAGTACAATTTTTATTTTTTTAAATTGGTAAATACAATCATAGTAATGAACGGGGGGTTATTTTTGGTCTCAGGCTGGTTTAAAATCCCCTTAATACAAAAATAGCTCGAGATATAGATCTAGTTTGCCAAGGTGGCTGCATACATATCGCTGGCTGACTTTTCATGCCCTGCTTTCATCTGAACTTCTCTGACAATATCATATGAATATTCATTGTCATAGGAGACAATCTCCAGTTAACAACTAAAATGTCATTGGTCTGTTAGAAGAGCCAGTTGTGATGTTATAAAAGGATCCTGGAAATGCCACCAATCCCAGCCTGTGATCTGTTTTCAAAGAATGATCATGCTTATGAGACTGCGGAGTTACAGGGGGGTTCCTAACTGGCTATTGGCGAATTTCCAAATTCAAAAGAATGACGCAAGATTTTTTTTCCCTCCCTTCTGAACCTGCAGAATATTAAAATGAAATATTTTTACAGCTATATTTAATTCTGTATTTGCCACATGACACTTACCGTTGCCTCCACACTCTTGGCAATTGCTTCAGATAAGTCACTGATATTTGCATTGAAACCACTTGTGCTACAAAAACATAGTCAGATTGTTGGTTTGCGGTAGTATTGTCCAGGACCATGTCAATCTCCTCACATGAAATGCTGCAATTACAGCTTTTGCGTTCTGTGATTCTGGTTTCTGTTTTTCCTTTGTTTAAAAAACGAATAAAATTGAAATAATTGCAGTCCCCAATTTTGGAAAGTCTACGGCCTTTTTCTTGATTACAATTTAATGGAATTTAGAAATGTTTAAAAATAATTACAAGAATTCCCTCCCACACAGGCACAGTATAAGTAAGTACTGCAGTACTGAAATTCCTATTCTCAGGAAATTATTCCTCCATATAAATTGTTAGCAGCTGTTGGTCATTATTTTAATTGACAGGAAATGGAATTACATTTTGGTGTTTGCTGAAACAGTGCACTGTATGTCGTAATAAGCACTGCTAACAAAATTTCAAGTGCTCTGTAATAGCTGATTTGTATAGCCTGCAGCATACCATAGTTTGTGTTGAGGCAGATTTTTGGGGCAGAAATCTATAAAGCTGAAGTCTGTCAGCAGAGAGCTTGCGTCTTCGCTTGACAGATGCGCTCCAAAACGGTGTGGGACAGCACTTCTGTGAAGCTTGTGACTTGCTCAGACTTGTTTCTACGCTCCACGTCTGTTGGTATGAAAGTGGCCCATTCAGTCCCTGCATGCACCATACTTTTCTCCATTTCATTTCAGACAGTTCTCTTATGGTAAAGCGTACTAGTCCGTAGAGGGGAGGCCTCTCTGGTGATTTTGTTCCCTCTCCCCTGTCTTCCTGCAGAAAGGTTTGATCATCACTGTCCCTGGCTTGGCAACTGTGTGGGCAAGAGAAACTACCGCTTCTTCTACACCTTTATCGTGTCTCTGTCCTTCTTGACTGCCTTCATCCTCGGTGGTGTAATCACTCACCTTACACTGCGTACGTATAACCCCCCCCCCCCCCCCAAGGTGTTTAAGCTGTTGATAGCTGATCCTTTTTGTTTTGCTATATTCGTGTTTCTGGCATTTCTGCTAAACTAGCTTGTGCTTCGATGTGCTCGTCCGGAAGAAGCTTTGGGTTGCTGCTTCCTGTCGTGTTCCTGTCCCCGTACCCCGCGCCCTCACAGCCTGCTGGGCCGTGACGCTGCACCCAAACCCAAAAGGCGTAGCCCCGCTGGAGACAGACGCTTGCAGGAGCAGCTGGGGGGGGGGGCTCTGTGTGCAAGAGATTTGGCTGAACGGCAGCGAGCGGCATAGCTGGTAGTTGACGCTGTGGTATAGTTTGCAGGGTAAGCTGATTTGCATAAAATGTGAAATGTAAGCTCTATTTGGCTATTTCAGTCTGTGGTTTGGAGAGCAGATTGGATAAATGCAGAATGGTAATGTAATATATACTTAGTAAAATTATTAATTGCATAATGGATCTGCACACGATCACATGGCATTATCACATAAACGGTGATATTTATAAAACAAAAAATGAAATGACCTGAAATAAACTATTTGGCTATAGTTTATCTACCAATACTGTCAGATAAATTGACGTTACTGTGAGTTGTCAGCAGACCCAAAGCAGTGGTGACAATAAGTGACTATTGCACAAGGCAACGAAATATCACGCAGCCCTCTGGCATAATATAACAAAGATCTATTCAGCATGCAGCAATACTGGGGAGAAAACATCAGATGTAGAAGCTTAGGCTTTTAAAAGGAACCATAACAGTTGTCAGGTGACTAAGGGACTGTTTTAAAAGAGCATTTTTCATAGTTTTATACTTTGTTTTGATGCCTGTTTCTCTTGCTGTCCTTAGCCACAGAATCTGGCACATGGCGTCACTCATATTGGAGTGTAGGGATGATCTTTAACTGTATTTTGAATGGAAAGTGTGTTTGTGTGTGTGTGTGTGTGTGTGTGTGCCTGTGCATGAGCTCCCCCCATAACCCTGTGTGATTCGGCTGGTTTATGCTGTGCTGGTCTCAGGCTTGCCTTTCTCCCTTAGGTTCTCAGGAAGACAGGGGTCTCCTCCTCGCCCTGAAGAAAAGCCCAGCCAGATATCCTTTGTTTCCATGAAGATGCCCTCAGTCCCTGGCTGTGGCCTGGGTGCCTGAGGTCGTCCTTTGCCTGAGGTCGTGATTGTATGTGAAAGCAGACTTGACTGTCGTGCTGTCTGCCCTAATCTAGCTAGTTTTGGCATGTGTTTAATTCTTTGACATTTGCACTGTCCTGGAGTTGGTCGTGTGCTGCTTCTCTATTTGGTCTATTCTGGGCCTCACAGGCTTCCATACCTACCTGGTGGCATCTAACCTCACCACCAATGAGGATGTGAGTACAGCTCTATTTAATTTTTATTTCAAATTTTATTATTGTTTCTGCATTGCTTTTTTCGGTCTGATAGGTGTGGTTTCAATGAAAACCATTTTTGCATGCCTTGAGGGTTATCCATATTAAATGTATTTGCTTCATTGAGTTTAATTCATTTTAATTTGAAAGGGCCATAGATATACAAAATTCCTTATAAATATTTGTATAAGTGCAAATGTATTAAATGAAAATATTAGTCAGTCGCATATGAATAACTGCCTTTTAAGGTGAGTTTGCAGTGAGTGTAGCTTTAAGAATGACTGTTTCACTTGGCTAACACTTAAATGTCTCTATAAATAGTGTGGTAAGGAGTTAGGTAGTAGCATTAAGGAATGTTTATTAAATGGCAGGCTTATTTTAACCGTCTGAAATATGTGAAACCACTTCACACATAAACTGCATCCGTGACCATAAGCTGGATGGATGGATGGAGACCTATATATTCATGACTTCCCATTCCTTGTTCTGCTGAAAGTCTGCGGAGATTTTCTCTGTCCTAGAGCCCTGTGCTTTGGCTCTTTTCCCGATAAACCACTAATTTGAGCATCTGACCTTTAGTTTATTTAAAGGGAATTATTGCTGTTTTAAAAGATCCATCCTTTGGTTTTTATTAACTTAAATTATATGTACATTCTCAAAAACTGAAAACGTACTCTTGTCTATACTGCTGGGGCATAAGTATAGTAGTAGTAACTTGGTATCGATGATGGGTGTTACTCTCCTAGCTGATGTAATGCCGTGGCTGTTTTTGTTTCCCATCCTGTCTGCATGCACAGGCTAAGGGCCTGTGGTCTGGGAAGAGGTTGGCAGACTCTGCAAATCCCTACAGCTATAACAACATGTGCACCAACTTCTGCTCGGTGCTGTGTGGACCCCTGCCCCCCAGGTAGGGCCTCCTGGTCTCCAGGTGGCATTTCTGGCTGATGGGGGATCTGTCATTAAGGGGCTTTTGTGGATGTACCGTAACTGAACAGCTTTTCACCTCTTCAGCCTCATTGACCGCAGGGGCTTCATTCCACAGAAGGGTGCCCCCCCCCCACCCCACTCCCCGCTGCCTTCACGCTCAAAGTGACCTCAACAGGGAAGAAGGCTCGACTTTGTGCCGTGAAGCCGCCACCTTATGCCTTGATTCCACAGCCACATCATCATGGCCTAGTAGGTGTGGTCTACCCATAAAGTGTCCTGGTAGACCTGCTTTGGCCTGGTGCTGATTTAGGCTGACTAATGGTGATCCCACCAGGGAACTGGTGTCAGTCGGGTATGTTGGGATATTAGTTATGTTATAAATAACAATGATTTGTAGCTTCCTACTGAACCGATTTGCCCTTGTCTTTTTGTGATTGATGAAATATGGGAATGGAAGCCGAAGCGAGAGACCCAACGAGTGCAGAAGCAGCTTCCGTAATGTATTGCGACCAGATGGTTGTCTGTCTCCTTCAAAAGGAGGATTAAAACCAGTCCTATGTGTCAAGTATGAACCCAAACTGTGCTCTCATTGGCTGAATGCCTCGGGGAGCAGAAGCGACGGCTTTCGTGTACGATGACGTCTTTGGCCTGAACACCCGTCATTTATAATTGCTTTTTATATCCGTCAGCAGGATGTGGCTGCCAGCCTCTTCAGGACGGTAATCGTATCTGAGGCTCTCAAAGAGGCCTTCTGAACTCGCCATTCTCTCGCTAAATTTCTGTATTGCGGATTTGAAGCCGTCCTGTTTTCCTGGGTGTGAAGATGCTGGATGAGGCATGACTTTGCAACCTAGAAGGATCTTCTCAAGTCTGGGCAGTGTAGCTTTGGGAGATGGAGTCGTCCTTTAATGTCTGGGCTCATAATTGCGGTAATTACCTCTGTTTATTGGGGCAAGACTCTGCTTGTCCAGTCAAACTGGCTGCTACATTGGAATGAAAGATTTTGTCTGTGACTGGCACCCAGTTCATGGAATCCAGTAATTCCCCCCCCAGAAAAAAAAAGAATTCTGTAATTCTCAGGTCAGGTGTTAGTGGCAAGGATGGCCTTCTTACTGAAATCGGTATGTCCTTGCAGGCATCCTCTGGTCCCCATTAAAGACATTTTGCAGTGAGGTTTTCCATTCAAATAGAGATTCCACAAATTCCCTATTGCACAGCTTTTTTTTGTCAGTCATATACTCGCCCTAATTCAGATAATATATATCGTACTTGAAAGCTCTTAATTCCTCTGGCACTTTATGCAGTAGGGATGTAAAAACTAGCTGATTCGAACATGCTGTAACTTTTCAGTGTACAAGCCACCATCCCATGAATGTACAGGTCGCAAGCCTATAATCCAGCTGTACTGCACAGTGATTTGTAATGGTGTCCCTTTATTTAGCCTGGTACCGGTTAGCTCACTGCAGAGTATGTGCATGAATGTCTTACTGAAAGAGTATAAAATATTTAATTACATTTTTATTGCATTGTGCAATGCATTTCTTTGGATTTTTTTTTAATTAATGGATGTTTTTAAAATAAATGTTATTAAACCTTTTTGTGTGTTTTCATCCAAATAAAGTTTGCTTTTGGCTTCGTCATGTCTCACTGTCATACTTCCAGCTCTTTTATTTAGTGCCACTTTACAATAAGTCTACCCATATAAAGGGTTTATGAATGGTTTATAATCTGGTTATTAATTAGGTTGTAACAATTTGTAAATCATTAATAGATCATATTAAACAAGTTATAACACTTTTTATTAATGAGTTACTACCATTTACAAGTGACAAAAGGGAGCCTTATTGTAAAGTGGTACCAGTGGTACCAGTGGATGTTTTTTGTCCAAAGCGGTGTATGACAGGATCAGCCAGTCCCTGGAGCAGCTGGGTAGAGGGCCTTGTTCAAGGGCCCAATGGTGACATCACTCTGAATCTACACTCACCTAAAGGATTATCAGGAACACCATACTAATACGGTGTTTGATCCCCTTTCGCCTTCAGAACTGCCTTAATTCTACGTGGCATTGATTCAACAAGGTGCTGAAAGCATTCTTTAGAAATGTTGGCCCATATTGATAGGATAGCATCTTGCAGTTGATGGAGATTTGTGGGATGCACATCCAGGGCACGAAGCTCCCGTTCCACCACATCCCAAAGATGCTCTATTGGGTTGAGATCTGATGACTGTGGGGGCCATTTTAGTACAGTGAACTCATTGTCATGTTCAAGAAACCAATTTGAAATGATTCGAGCTTTGTGACATGGTGCATTATCCTGCTGGAAGTAACCATCAGAGGATGGGTACATGGTGGTCATAAAGGGATGGACATGGTCAGAAACAATGCTCAGGTAGGCCGTGGCATTTAAACGATGACCAATTGGCACTAAGGGGCCTAAAGTGTGCCAAGAAAACATCCCCCACACCATTACACCACCACCAGCTGCCTGCACAGTGGTAACAAGGCATGATGGATCCATGTTCTCATTCTGTTTACGCCAAATTCTGACTCTACCATTTGAATGTCTCAACAGAAATCGAGACTCATCAGACCAGGCAACATTTTTCTAGTCTTCAACTGTCCAATTTTGGTGAGCTCGTGCAAATTGTAGCCTCTTTTTCCTATTTGTAGTGGAGATGAGTGGTACCCGGTGGGGTCTTCTGCTGTTGTAGCCCATCCGCCTCAAGGTTGTGCGTGTTGTGGCTTCACAAATGCTTTGCTGCATACCTCGGTTGTAACGAGTGGTTATTTCAGTCAAAGTTGCTCTTCTATCAGCTTGAATCAGTCGGCCCATTCTCCTCTGACCTCTAGCATCAACAAGGCATTTTCGCCCACAGGACTGCCGCATACTGGATGTTTTTCCCTTTGCACACCATTCTTTGTAAACCCTAGAAATGATTGTGCGTGAAAATCCCAGTAACTGAGCAGATTGTGAAATCTGTCTGGCACCAACAACCATGCCACGCTCAAAATTGCTTAAATCACCTTTCTTTCCCATTCTGACATTCAGTTTGGAGTTCAGGAGATTGTCTTGACCAGGACCACACCCCTAAATGCATTGAAGCAACTGCCATGTGATTGGTTGATTAGATAATTGCATTAATGAGAAATTGAACAGGTGTTCCTAATAATCCTTTAGGTGAGTGTATACCAGTGGCATTAAGATCACCGGTAGCTTCCCAGCATCCCCACACACTGTCTTGCACTTAATGAAACATCATTTTTGTCTCCTAGGTTTATAGTGCAATGACTGATAACACAACACAGGACCTGTATATTTTCCAATGTCGCCCTGGATCTCTGCCTGTCCCTACAGCCTTTTGGGGAGGTTGTGGTGTATAGTGTGATGAGTATGTATCCCCTTTGTACAGCATGACATCCTGTCTTGTTGATGAAAGCCAGTCTTGTTTTTCTCCTTTGTTACCCTAGCCTTTGTTAACCACTGCATGTCCTCCCTTGCCTGTAGGTCATAGTGCATACTTTAAGAGTAGAACAAGAGTACGGGATATCTAATTTTAGTGATGTGGGGATGGGAATGAAGTCTTGACAACCACTGTGAGGTTATCCTGTTGCTTCTGTTCTCTTTGGGTTCTTATGTCGGTGTTACAGGGATGGATTTTAGAAACTGATTTCCAGGATTTAGCTTTTTCTTCATGGAATCTTAGCCCAGCACTGTATCACTGCTGTGTCTGGTTCTTCCCAACAGTGTTTTCTAATGCAATAACCAGGAGTTTCTTTTGGGGTGTAAGTATCTACAATTCAATTATTACTACTCAGAATGTCTATTTTAGATATCTTCAACCATTTTGCATTTTGGATATCTATAATGTAATTATAGATATCTAAAGCTACATTAGTACTTGTACGAACTGAATTTTAGACATAGCAAATGCCAAGTTGTACTAATAAGAATTCAATTGTCGATATATATCCGCAATTGTATTTTTACTAGTAATTTCTACAAATGAATTGTTGATATCTGCAGAAAATTATATTGATAACTACATTGCAGATATCTTTAACCATTTTGTATTTTGGACATCTAACAAATAAATTGTGACTGTAATAACTGAATTGCAGACACTTTAAAAGTCCATAGTCTCCCAAATGTGGGCTTCGTCCCCCTACATTGACCACACTGTAACCACTCTTCATTCCAGTGAACTCCAAGCAGTGTTGGTCATCCTGGGTGGTGTTATTTGGTCATATTTCTTCCTTAACTATAACTGCTATGGCTTTATATAACTCTGCAGTCCCAGTTCCACCCAGGGCCATTAAATCATTAAACCCAGGACACACTGAAGCAGTATCCCCATTGGTCTGAGCTGGGTTGCAGTCTTGATTCTATGCTAAAATGTCAAAGCAATTGGGCTGCAAGACTTTTGTCTTTGAATTGAAAGCAAGGGAATGAAGGGTGGTATCTCATGTTCCTCAATGTTCTCCTCTGTAAAGGGTCAGTAGGGGGCAGCTGGAGTGCTTTATAAATTCACTGGTGAACTAAGTGTAACTATATCCTCCTGAGACCCAAGGAAAAAAGTATCCTTCAATTTTAGGTTATTTGTCTTTGGAGGAAATAAGACATCTTACAATTTAGATTTTTTCAAATTTATTTTTATTTTTAATTTCACAGCATGTCCTCTTTAGTGTACAACAGGAATAAATATGTTTCCTTTCACCAGTGAAAAGATAGATGCAAAAACAAAATGTCCACTGCAATGGACATAAATGAATGGGTGGGGTCTCAGGAGGATAAACACATGCACAACAAGAAGGCAGAATTTAAGCCTCCACTGCATCTGAATGCTGTGTGCCTGTAGAGTTGGAGTTGGAGTGTCACAATGTATCTACATCCATCCAGCATGTAGGCAGCTCTGGGCTGTCAGCCTGCAGCTCAGCAAAGACGACTCTGCGCAAGCCGAAGAGAAGCAGTATATTTTATGCCTCTTGTATGTAATGGAATCATGGTTTTTTTTAGTTTCAGAAGGGAGCACACTGACTTGCTGTCATCAGAATGCCCTTGGAGCCACGAGCAGATGAAAATTGCTCACATGTCTAATTTTTTACTGAGTTAAGACTTAATGAAAGGCTTAAATGGACTACAAATTGCTGAATATATTGCAGACCTGTGGCACTCCTGATTTACTTCTGTGACAGCTTAAGACCTAAATTTACAATTTTAGTACCAATCGTAAATTTCTCAGGCTTCTTTACAGTATCTTTGAAAGACAGAGTGGAGTAGCTGCTATTCTACTTTTAAGAATGCATATTTTTTTGTGGAATTTGTGAAGCCGTTTTGTACTTTGTTCTAATATTGTTCTTTGTCACTGGGTCATGGAATAAGTAAGGGAATGGGAGGCTATGTAACTTTTATGTAGGTATCTGAAATGAGAAAAAAATAGCAGAACATGCTACTGTATACAAGGCACTGTAGGGAGAGTATCTCCTTGAAACTACACTCACTGGCCACTTTATTAGGTACACTTTGCTAGTACCGGTTTGGACCCCCTTTTGCCTTCAGACCTGCCTTAATTCTTCATGGCATAGATCAAACGAGGTGCTTTAAACATTCCTCAGAGACTTTGGTCCATGTTCACATGACAGCATCACGCAGTTTCTGTAGATTTGTTGTCTGCACCTTCATGATGCAAATCTCCCGTTCCACCACATCCCATAGGTGCTCTACTGCATTGACTGGTGGCTGTGGAAGCCATTTGAGTACAGTGATCTCATGCTCAAGCTTTGAGCTTTGTGACATGGCGTGTTTTTCTGCTGGAAGTAGCCATTAGAATCTGGGTACACTGTGGTCATACAGGGATGGACATGGTCAGCAAGCAACTATATTCAGGTGGGCTGCGGCATTTAAACAATGTTCAAACTGTGCCAAGAAAACATCCCCCACACCATTACACCACCATGGCCAGCCTGGATTATTGATACGAGGCACAATGGATCCATGCTTCTTGTTTGAGCCAAATTCTGACTCTACCATCTAAATGTCGCAGCAGAATTTGAGACTGAGAATTTGACAAGGCAACGTTTTTCCAATCTTCCATTGTCTACTTTTAGTGAGCCCATGTCCACTGTAGCCTCAGTTTCTTGTTCTTAGCTACAGGAGTGGCACTCAGCGTGAACTTCTGCTGCTGTAGCCCATCTGCTTCCAGGTTGATGTGTTGTGTGTTCAGAGATGTTGTCCTGCAATGAGCGATTATTTGAGTTAATGTTGCCTTTCTATCAGTTGAACTAGTCTGGCCATTCTTCTCTGACCTCTGCCATTAAAAAGGCATTTTCAGCCAGAGAACCGCTGCTCACTGGATGTTTTTTCTTTTTCTATTCATTCTTTCTAAACCCTAGAAATGGTGGTGTTTGAAAATCCCAGTAAACTGACAGTTTCTGAAATAATAGCCTGTCATGCACCAACAACCGTGCCACATTAAGTCACTTAAACTGCCTTTTTTCCCCATTCTGGTATCTGATGTGAACATTAACTGAAGCTCATGACCTGTATTTGTATGATTTTATATACTGTGCTCCTGATAAATGATTGGCTGATTAGTTATTTCCTTCAACAAGCAGCTGAACAGGTGTACCTAATAAAGTGGCCAGTGAGTGCATATTCGTTGAACAGAGAGGTCTGCTGTTTTCAAAGAATTAGTCTTAAAGGTTTCACAGAATAGGCTTCATTGTTACATCTGACTGATGGGAAAGCGCTGAGGGGTGACTTTCAAACTTGCAAAATAATGAAAACCAGCAAACCCCACAGCTTGGGTGGGCCTGTGCTGGCCAACAGCTCCGGAACCAGTACCTTCTCCCTAAGGAAGCATGCTCTTTAGCAAAGACTATTATGGGTGGAAGTGACCTCTGTTCAGCTTTGCGCAGTGTGTTATTTTTAGTGTGTTCCTGTCCACCCACTGCTGCACCTTAGACCAACGTCATCCTCAGACTGCTCAGTGACTCCATACACCAAAACCTTTCTGAAGTGGTCTCTGGACAGCAAAGTTCTAATGGCAGCTGGTCTTTACAACCACTTATAAGCTGTAAGGGAGAGCTGACTTTAATTAAGAAGTGTTACAGCATTGTTTCCCAACCCAGTACTTGGGACTCCCAGCCAGTCCATGTTTTTGCTCCCTCCCAGCTCCCTATCGGGAGAAAAATGTATATTGCTTGACTAGGAGCAGAGAGGGAGTAAAACTTTGGACTGTCTAGTGGTCCCCGAGGACCGGATTGGGAAATGCTGTGTTAGAAGGTGTTAGAACTGAGGTAGTGCTGCATGCTTTTGTCAGCACTCAACTCAGCAAGTCTGGCTGGGTTACCTTCAAGGGCTTTTGAAGGATCTGACAGCTCTGACATGCGTGAGCGGATGGAGGACGAGCGGGCAGATATTTTCAGGTGAAAGAAACTATTGCAGTATAATTGTGTTCAGTTATTTTCTTTATTGGCAGAACACTTTCAAACGCTATTTTAAAAACTGACTTTTAAAAATTTCTGATAGTATGCAGGAGCTTCGGTCCCCTTGGCAGATACTGTTCTTTATATTACTTTTTTTTTTTTTTTTTTGGGGGGGGGGGGTTGTCATGCCCTCCAGTTTTCCCCAAGTTTTGCCATCACATGTATGTAAATGTATGAAAAAGTAATGAAAATGTCAGGAAAAGCAGATGGTGCCATGCAGCCCAGCCCGGGGTTTGCTGATGCAGGTCACCCCTATCACTGCCACACGCAAACGCCGTGATCGCTGTTAAAACATGTCAAACAGGTGTTACTGCGGAAAGCACCTTTCAAACTGCAGGTGGTTGTTGTCATTTAAAATGTAATACTGATAGCTAAATTCAAAAAGCCAACAATAAATCAGCATGTAAATTCTCTGTTCTTGTGTCTGAATTAGCGATAAAAAGGTCACACATTTTGTCATATTATTTGATCTTCAATAAAATTTAGCAGCAGAGTTTTGCATTAATATGATATGATAATATGCTCAGTATTGACCAACGCTTTCAAATGTTAAAAGAGAAATGATCCAAGGCGCCGTGAGCAGGATTGCGAAATAAACATATTCTTGTTCACTTTCAGCGACGAGGCATAGAAAATGCGCGTTTCGAAATTGCTAGAACGATTCAAACCACAAGGGGGAGCAGTGTACCGACAAAATCAAAATCAAAGGTATTAGGCAGGATGCTCATGTAGATATATCTACGTATCGTTACCAGTCACTGGCACTGCAAAATAACATGCTATATATTTAAACACTGTTATTAATTTACTTATTTGTACGACTGAAATTTGTACAAAATAGTATTTAGTAAATGTATCTATTTTCTCAATTTGTTTACTGGTGGTGTATAGAGAATAAGAGAAGTAATTTATTTTAAATAATTAGAGTAGATTTTATTGCTGCAATAACACATCGAAAGATGATGGTGGTCAAACATCGACCCAGAAAGCATCTCCAAGCCCTAGACTAAACAACCTTTAGACAATTTGCAAAAATAAGAATTCAATGCCTGCTTTGCGCCTGTAGATTCTGGACCCCCCACAACTCTGAATATGACAAGCGGTTTCAGAAAATGGATGGATGGATGGAAGAAATCAGTGCAATGCAATCCTATGGCCTGACACACAGTTTCCAGTTTCAGCTAAAAAAAAAATAAAAAAAAAAATCATTTAAGTCATCATGTGTAAAAGGTCTATGATTCAGTATTTGAGCGACACTCAAATGGAAAGATTTGGTTTAGGACTTGGGAAGTCTGTAGTTAATGACTAACATCTGAATTTCTGTGAAAATTTCAGTGTTTCAGTGCTTTTAACTGATGTTGTGAAAATGAATTAGGCTATACCCTGCAAAAGTATGTGATGCCATTAAATAAATTGCCAAAATGTGTAGAATTTTCTGTAATAGTGAGCCATGAGGCACAGGTTTGGCACAGTGACCATGTGTCTCTTTATGCCCGTGCTGGTGGGAGACTGCTGCTCTTCAGCCTAGAGGGTGCCATCCCAGTGACCCTGTATCTCATTATGCCTGTGCTGGCAGGAGACTGGTCCTCCTCACACTAGAGGGCGCCATCCCAGTGACCCTGTATCTCATTATGCCTGTGCTGGCAGGAGACTGGTCCTCCTCACACTAGAGGGCGCCATCCCAGTGACCCTGTATCTCATTATGCCTGTGCTGGCAGGAGACTGGTCCTCCTCACACTAGAGGGCGCCATCCCAGTGACCCTGTATCTCATTATGCCTGTGCTGGCAGGAGACTGGTCCTCCTCACACTAGAGGGCGCCATCCCTGTGACCCTATATCTCATTATGCCTGTGCTGGCAGGAAACTGGTCTTCCTCACACTAGAGGCCGCTATCCCAGTGACCCTGTGTCTCGTTATGCCTGTACTGGTGGGAGGCTGGTGCTCCTCACTATCCTGGTGAGTCATTTCTATCCTCTTGAAGCGCATGAGGGACACAACCTTTTCCAACCCCTTATTCAGCACTGAGCTGTGAAGAGAACTTGATTTTTTTTTTTCAATGAAACATTTAAACAGATTTTTTTTAGGTGAATTATGGTAGCAGTACAGTACAGTACAGTATTGTGATGGATGCATTAGCCCAATAAGCTCTAAGTTGGCCTCCTTCCTCAGAGCACCTTTACACATGGGGTTTGATGCAGGTGGACTGTCTGCTTATATAATGACAAAATAAGCAGAGAGTAAATAGACACTGACAAGTTTGTCAGTGACAAATGGTCCTCATATTCGCATTCGCAGTGTGGCAGGGTAGCCGCATACAGAGACATAGTGGTCAGGCACTGACACTGTGCATTAAAGGCATGTGCGGAGGCTGGCTGTATGTGCAGAGGATGCTTGGATTGGCAAGGGGCAGTTGGGACGTGTAAGTGCATTGAAGCAAGGGCACAAGGACAGACCTTATGCGCCCGACCTGCGGGGGCATTGGAGGGGCACAGATACCCTGGCAGGATTAGCGGGGCCAGCATTTGACAGGGGCTCTTGAATATGTAAAATGAGATGTAAAAATGGACAGGGACTCCAAGGTAATTGGTAATTGTGTCAGGGGGCCGGAATTTCTAGGTATGTCCCTGCTGAGCTACACTGTGCACAAGTGCTAGACATTTTGCATCGTTTTTATGGTTAAATGCAACAGATGCCCAGCTCTGCCTCCAGCCTCAGCAACATCTGCAAAGCCAGGTGTGTCCTTCATCCCTGCCATCATACCAGGTGAACGGCCACACCTCCTGGGAGACTCTGCACACCTGTCTTGCTCTTTCGGTCACCGGTGGTACACAGCAGTCGCATACTGGTGCCTAGAATCCTCCACCCAACGCCGTTGCTTGCTTCATCTTCCGCTGTTTTCCTGCAGCTTTGGCCCCATATCATACGCTGGAAATGGGTT